TTTAAAACTAGCTGCAGGATAAATAGCTGAATGGGTTTGATAGCTTTAAAATTAAGTTACGTCGGGGAAGCGTTTATTTATAATTGGAGGCGCGTCCATGGACGCGCGTTGAAAGCCTGCGGCTTTAAAACTGTGCTAGGTTTATTGTTTGCTTGGAGATTTACGTTAAATGTTTTAGTTTATTTAGAAATTTTTTGAAATAAGAAGGGCACCCTTCCTTTTAGATGGATCGGTCCCTTCTTTAGATGGGAGGTGCTTCGTTCCATTTTTTAAATGGGCATCGCGTCGGGCGTACAAGGCGCACTTCCGGCCTTCGGCCCTCGTCCCCCCTCCCCCCTTCCCCACCGTTGGGACTCATTTTTACAATTTGGCGCACTTCGGGCCTTCGGCCCTCGCCCCCCCCCTTCCGCACCGTTGGGACTCATTTTTACAATTTGGCGCACTTCGGGCCTTCGGCCCTCGTCCCCCCCCTTCCCCACCGTTGGGACTCATTTTTACAATTTGGCGCACTTCGGGCCTTCGGCCCTCGTCCCCCCCCCCCTTCCCCACCGTTGGGACTCATTTTTACAATTTGGCGCACTTCGGGCCTTCGGCCCTCGCCCCCCCCCCTTCCCCACCGTTGGGACTCATTTTTACAATTTGGCGCACTTCGGGCCTTCGGCCCTCGTCCCCCCCCCCCCTTCCCCACCGTTGGGACTCATTTTTACAATTTGGCGCACTTCGGGCCTTCGGCCCTCGTCCCCCCCCCCCCCTTCCCCACCGTTGGGACTCATTTTTACAATTTGGCGCACTTCGGGCCTTCGGCCCTCGCCCCCCCCCCTTCCACACCGTTGGGACCCATTTTTACAATTTCGTCTCCCTCCCTCCCCACCGTTGGGACCCATTTTGGGCCACTTCGGTCTCTCCCCCTCCCCATCGTTGGGACCCATTTTGGGTCACTTCGGTCTCTCACCCGCCACATAGTTGGGACCCATTTTGGGCCACTTCGGGCCTTCGGCCCTCGTCCCCTCCCTCCCCACCGTTGGGACTCATTTTGGTCACTTCGGGCCTTCGGCCCTCGTCTCCCCCTCCCCACCGTTGGGCACCATTTTGGGTCCCAACGTTTTGGTTACCCCACTGGGTATAGTACCACTCACACCCGAAATTTCGACCTTTTGTAACTTTGTACAAAATGGTCAGAAAATTTCGGAAAAAATATTTTTAAGCTCAGCTCGATGAGAGCTTTCGATTGATATAACATTTGGCCCATCTGTGGCCATTTTGCAAAAAATTTTTTTTGGCCAAAAATTTTGGCCGTAAAAATCGCCGAAATTTAAAAAAAATCATAACTTTCTCAAAGTTAATCTTTTTTAATAATTTTAAAAGCTCATTCTATGCAGAAAAATCTGCTCTATCAAGAAAAAATACCTATGCCCCTTACCGCCGGCAAAAATCCCGAAATTTTTTCGAAAAACCGAAAAATTTTGGGTTTTTCGAAATTCGACCCCTACACCTCCAATTTCGAATTTTTTCGAAATTTTCTTCGGTGAAAAAATGCCTAATTTTTAGTACTATTTTTAGAAAGAAGTAAGAAGTACTATTCTAAAAATAGTACTATTCTAAAAATAGTACTAAAAATTAGGCATTTTTTCACCGAAGAAAATTTCGAAAAAATTCGAAATTGGAGGTGTAGGGGTCGAATTTCGAAAAACCCAAAATTTTTCGGTTTTTCGAAAAAATTTCGGGATTTTTGCCGGCGGTAAGGGGCATAGGTATTTTTTCTTGATAGAGCAGATTTTTCTGCATAGAATGAGCTTTTAAAATTATTAAAAAAGATTAACTTTGAGAAAGTTATGATTTTTTTTAAATTTCGGCGATTTTTACGGCCAAAATTTTTGGCCAAAAAAAATTTTTTGCAAAATGGCCACAGATGGGCCAAATGTTATATCAATCGAAAGCTCTCATCGAGCTGAGCTTAAAAATATTTTTTCCAAAATTTTCTGACCATTTTGTACAAAGTTACAAAAGGTCGAAATTTCGGGTGTGAGTGGTACTATACCCAGTGGGGTAACCAAAACGTTGGGACCCAAAATGGTGCCCAACGGTGGGGAGGGGGAGACGAGGGCCGAAGGCCCGAAGTGACCAAAATGAGTCCCAACGGTGGGGAGGGAGGGGACGAGGGCCGAAGGCCCGAAGTGGCCCAAAATGGGTCCCAACTATGTGGCGGGTGAGAGACCGAAGTGACCCAAAATGGGTCCCAACGATGGGGAGGGGGAGAGACCGAAGTGGCCCAAAATGGGTCCCAACGGTGGGGAGGGAGGGAGACGAAATTGTAAAAATGGGTCCCAACGGTGTGGAAGGGGGGGGGGGGGGACGAGGGCCGAAGGCCCAAAGTGTGCCAAATTGTAAAAATGTGTCCTAACGGTGGGGATGGGGGGGGGGACGAGGGCCGAAGTCACGAAGTGCGCCAAATTGTAAAAATGAGTCCTAACGGTGGGGAAGGGGGGGGGGGACGAGGGCCGAAGGCCCGAAGTGCGCCAAATTGTAAAAATGGGTTCCAACGGTGGGGAAGGGGGGACGAGGGCCGAAGGCCCGAAGTGCGCCAAATTGTAAAAATGAGTCCCAACGGTGGGGAAGGGGGGGACGAGGGCCGAAGTCACGAAGTGCGCCAAATTGTAAAAATGAGTCCTAACGGTGGGGAAGGGGGGGGGGGGGGACGAGGGCCGAAGGCCCGAAGTGCGCCAAATTGTAAAAATGGGTTCCAACGGTGGGGAAGGGGGGACGAGGGCCGAAGGCCCGAAGTGCGCCAAATTGTAAAAATGAGTCCCAACGGTGGGGAAGGGGGGGGCGAGGCCGAAGGCCCGAAGTGCGCCAAATTGTAAAAATGAGTCCCAACGGTGGGGAAGGGGGGGGGGGGGGCGAGGGCCGAAGGCCCGAAGTGCGCCAAATTGTAAAAATGAGTCCCAACGGTGGGGAAGGGGGGGGCGAGGGCCGAAGGCCCGAAGTGCGCCAAATTGTAAAAATGAGTCCCAACGGTGGGGAAGGGGGGGGGGACGAGGGCCGAAGGCCCGAAGTGCGCCAAATTGTAAAAATGAGTCCCAACGGTGGGGAAGGGGGGGGGGGGCGAGGGCCGAAGGCCCGAAGTGCGCCAAATTGTAAAAATGAGTCCCAACGGTGGGGAAGCGGGGGCGAGGGCCGAAGGCCCGAAGTGCGCCAAATTGTAAAAATGAGTCCCAACGGTGGGGAAGGGGGGGGGGGGACGAGGGCCGAAGGCCCGAAGTGCGCCAAATTGTAAAAATGAGTCCCAACGGTGGGGAAGGGGGGGGGGACGAGGGCCGAAGGCCCGAAGTGCGCCAAATTGTAAAAATGAGTCCCAACGGTGGGGAAGGGGGGGGGGGGGCGAGGGCCGAAGGCCCGAAGTGCGCCAAATTGTAAAAATGAGTCCCAACGGTGGGGAAGGGGGGGGGACGAGGGCCGAATGCCCGAAGTGCGCCAAATTGTAAAAATGAGTCCCAACGGTGGGGAAGGGGGGGGACGAGGGCCGAAGGCCCGAAGTGCGCCAAATTGTAAAAATGAGTCCCAACGGTGCGGAAGGGGGGGGGCGAGGGCCGAAGGCCCGAAGTGCGCCAAATTGTAAAAATGAGTCCCAACGGTGGGGAAGGGGGGAGGGGGGACGAGGGCCGAAGGCACATTGTTCATGGTTATTGACGAGGCGCATCCGAAATAATTATTCATTTTTCCCTACGCCGGCGTCTTCGCGCCGAAACGACCCCTGGGACCATGCTATCTCGTGAACCGAAAGAGATAGCGGAAAACTTCCGCTTAGAGGGCCCTGACCCGCATTTAGTAGATGTCGAATAAAAAAAAATTTTCGAAAAAATTCGAACTCTAAGATACGATATGCTTGTCTAACCCTTTTTAAATGGTGGTCAAATGTCGCGCCATAGGGTAGCGGTCTTTTGTACAATTTCTATATCTCTGAAACCACGCCGCAGATTTGGATGGGACCTGGGGGTATTAGGTAAACGGCCATGAGAAAAAATTTTAAAAAATTTCCCCGGGACGTAAGAGTCTCATAAAGTTTTGCGACATTTGGCCACATTCGCTATAACTTTTTACGACTCAAGTGGACCCCCAACATATTATACCTTTTTCGGAGCCCCACGGGACGCTCTTTCGAACTGGCTATCGAAAACGCGTTTTAATTCACGTTACAAAAAGTAGGTTTTTCGACCCCGACTCTTTGACCCAAATGACCCCCAAAATTTCATCTGAGACTCAAGTTGTCAACACCCGATAACTTCCCAACACTCTACCCTCCAACATCACTCCCAGGCCCAAGAACCCCTCACTTCTCAAAAACCCGTTATAAGCCTTTGAAATTTTCATCCGGCCATTTCATGCCACACTCGAGTGCGGCACCAAAATGGCCATGCCCATTAAATTTCTCATGGCCGTTTACCTAATACCCCCAGGTCCCATCCAAATCTGCGGCGTGGTTTCAGAGATATAGAAATTGTACAAAAGACCGCTACCCTATGGCGCGACATTTGACCACCATTTAAAAAGGGTTAGACAAGCATATCGTATCTTAGAGTTCGAATTTTTTCGAAAATTTTTTTTTATTCGACATCTACTAAATGCGGGTCAGGGCCCTCTAAGCGGAAGTTTTCCGCTATCTCTTTCGGTTCACGAGATAGCCAGGTCCCAGGGGTCGTTTCGGCGCGAAGACGCCGGCGTAGGGAAAAATGAATAATTATTTCGGATGCGCCTCGTCAATAACCATGAACAATGTGAAAGTTTCAGGGAGGTACAAACAAAATTGGAACCGCTGAAGTTTTTTTTGTCTGAGTTTAAAAACTATTATATATATATATATAAAGAAACAAAAATTATACTAGATTGTATTATTCACATATTCAACTGCCTGTGATTGTTTAGTACAAGTTTGGGTAGTTTATTTGGCAAGAATTCCTTTTTTTATTTACATTGCCGGCTCTCCATTATTTCATTTTGCTATAATGATAGAACGTGTTTTGGCTACAGTTTATGTTAAAATTTATGAAAATCAAGGAAAAAAGATTGGAGTTATTAGCACAATTATTGTGGTAAAATAAAAAATAAAAAGTTTTCAAAATTTAATTTTTTAATTTTTAGTGGTTATTAATATCAATTTTTGTTGTTTTTGTTTACTTTAGCTTTATTACGGATCCAACATTTAGTCACCCAATGGCTTATGTAAACCTCACTAGCAATTACAATTCTGATGTTTTAATTATTGTTCATTACTTTTTCTTAGTTTTAGTCCTCTTCATTGCTATTGCCGATTACTGTTTGATTCATCGAAATAAAAAAATAAAGTCCTCTTTGTAAGAATTATATTAAAATAAAAAAAAATTATTAATAATTAAATTAATTAAAGGTTAAAACAATTTATTTTTCAAGTTTCAGTTCAGTAAAACACTACAGCCTCAGTCAAAGTTATCAGGCTAAACAAAATCTTCTTGTGATGAAAATTGTTTTTCCTCTCGACTTTTCTTATTCTTTTGTTTTTGCAATTTATAATGTCCTTTCGGGGTTTATTAGGTCAAAAAGAGGAGAATATGGCCAACTTGTTTATGTACGGACATATGACGGAATATTAAATATTTATTTATTTAAGTTATTATTTATTCATGCAATTATAACTTTAATTGTTTACGAACATTTTTTGAGAAAACAGAATGAACATAGAAAGAATTTTATTAAAACAAGTAGTATGAAAATAACTTCAGAAATGTATTTTAAAAGATTGAATTCTTAATGGAAATGAATTTATATTTAATTCTAAATTGTTTTTTTTTTGAAACGTGGAGAATATTTAATAAAAATTTATTGATAAATTGATAAAATTTCACCTTTAATCCTTGTAAATCTTTCGATATATCATATATGTACTTCTTTAACCTTCCGTGTTTACTTTTGCGGCTCCAACCCGAATACTAGTCCCTAGTTTAATGATAAAATTCAGACAAAAAATTAATTTCCTTTTAGTAAATTAGATTATTTTTACTTTTTATTTTAATTTTCTAAAGCATAAAATAATAAAATTAGTTATGGAAAATATTTATATGGGAAATATTTTTTAAAATTAATTTAATTTTATATAATCACTAGTATTTCCCTTGATAGACTAACGAAATGAAATAATATATTTATTTAATTTGACACAAAAGAAATTTAAATTTTTTAAAATAATTGAATTAATTAAACGATTCCACAAACTACGTAAATTTAAGGTATCTATAAATAATATTCTTATAGCAAATAAATTTTTACTTCAGCAATTCTTTCTCAAATTCTTCTATAAAAACTAATATATAATTAAATTCTTCTCTAAAAATTAATATATAATTAAATTTTTTAATATTTTAAGCTTTTAAAAGCCTAAAAATAACTAAAATTTCTAACCAAAAGCGTTATTTTTCATATTTTTAGCTAGTTTTATCTGAATTGAACAGAGATAATAGTATGCTTTAAAGAAATTAAACTAAAAATATTTCATAATTTTTCAGAGAGGGGTGATTCAGGTAGAACATTTTGCTTCTCTATTTAATACCAATTGAAATGCTCATAAAAATTTTTCAGAATTTTTCAAGAATTTTTAATATGAAAAACTAAATTTTTTAAAAGTGGCTTTATAATTTCTTAACCACCCATTTTCGAGAAAAAATCTGATAAAAACCTATCAAGTGGAAATTTTTTAAAGATTTTTCGGGCATGATGTCCAATGGTGTATGAAAATCATTTTTAAGAATTTCAGATTAATTGGACAACCAGAACCTAAAAAATCAGAAAAAAAACTAGGTGGTTTTATAATTTCACAACACACCATATAATTATTTTTTTAACATTTATTAACATTATTATTTAACATTATTATTTTTTAACATTTGTATAAAAACGTTGGTTGAAAATATTTCGTTAGTAGCAATTTAATAATTTGTAAGGAAAAGATAAAGTCAGCAAAAGTAATTATTGATGATACGTTATGGGCAAATGTTTCTCCAAAGCCAATAAAGCTTGTACATATTAACATTTTACTATTTATACATATATAATTATGAAAAAATTTTTCATTTTAATATTTAGGTAACTAGATAAGAGGCATTATAATATTAAGGTGGTAGTCTTTTTCGGTTCCTATATACCTTTTTTGCAATACTCTTTTCGTGTTCTTTTACAAAAAAATTTCAGAATTAAAAAATGAATCAAACTCAATGTATTGATGCTGAAGCATTCGTCCTCGATACAAAATTTAATATTATAAGAGGAGTATTAATAATTTTATGTACAATTATTTTTATTTTACTTTTGCGTATTATGTATTTGGTATTACAAAACAAATGCAGTGAAATTACACACAAATTTAATTGTAAGATAAATCTAATTTATTTGTTTAGCTATAGGAGAATACACATAAATGAATAAATAGGTCTTGGAAATAAGGTTGGCGGTTCCGGTTATCCGGAACCGAAAAAAGACCGGATAACCGAAAATTTTCGGTTCGGTTATCGGTTCCGGTTCCGGATAACCGAAATCTTCGGTTCGGTTATCGGTTCCGGTTCCGGATAACCGAAATCTTCGGTTCGGTTATCGGTTCCGGTTCCGGATAACCGAAGTCTTCGGTTCGGTTCCTAGAATGAAGAAAAAATGGAAGAAATCTAGCCCTTTGGTCTTCCAAATTTCTCAAAATTTTTGCCTGCGGCGCTGGAAAAGGAAGAAATCAGCAGCTAGTCTTCCAAAATTCTCAAAATTTTCGCCTGCGGCGCTGGAAAAGGAAGAATTCTGGCTTAGGAATCTTCTAAAATAGTCAAAATTTTCGCCTGCGGCGCTGAAAAAGGAAGTATTCTGGCTTAGAAATCTTCTGAAAGTGTCAAAATTTTTGCCTGTGGCGTTGGAAAACGAAGTCATTCACACCAATTAAAATCACTCAATCACCCAAGTCCCCCAAATCACTAATATTCCTGTTGACCCCTCTTAATCCACCCAAATTCCACTTTAAACCTCGATATCCTCCTTAATCCCTCGATACACACGCAATCACACGACATGACTCATAATTCACTAAATCTCCCATTAACCCTCTTGCTTCTTTGATATCACTTGATATCCACTAATCCGTACAAATCCTCTGAAATTATATACTCCATTGATTTTCCACCCGGATAAACTCCTAGAAATTCTTTAAATTTCGGATAAATTCTTTGATCCACGCATTTATTGCGCCTAGATAACTCTGGCGATCCTAAATTCCCTCGATAACTCTGTTAATCCCCAAATCCATTCATAATTCCTCCTAATCTCTCTATATCCTTCCATGGGACTCAACTTTTCAGCGCCGCAGGCAAAAATTTTGAAAATAAAAATTTCGGTTTCGGTTCCGGATAACCGAAAAATTCGGTTCGGTTATCGGTTCCGGTTCCGGATAACCGAAAAATTCGGTTCGGTTACCGGTTCCGGTTCCGGATAACCGAAATCTTCGGTTCGGTTATCGGTTCCGGTTCCGGATAACCGAAGATTTCCCAGGAACCGCCAACCTTACTTGGAAATAAGGATGGCGGTTCCTAGGAAATCTCCGGATATCCGGAACCGGAACCGGTATCCGAACCGAAATTTTCGGATATCCGGAACCGGAACCGGTATCCGAACCGAAGATTTCGGATATCCGGAACCGGAACCGATATCCAAACCGAAAATTTCGGGTATCCGGAACCGGAACCGAAATTTTTATTTTCAAAATTTTCGCCTGCGGCGCTGTAAAGTTAAGTCACAATGGATGATATAAAGGAATTAAGATCAATATGAATGGATTTGTGGAATTAACAAAGATATTGAGGGAATTTACGATTAACAGTCTCTATTAATTTGGGGAATTAATAGAGACATCGGGTATATTGGTGGATTAAGAGCTGGAGGTTGGCAATGACGAGAGATATAGAGGGATTTATTGATCTACCTATATCTCTCGGGGATTTATTGATATTTAAATTTAATCATATATCCCCTTTGATATTATTATTATTGATATATGTATCCCGTCTAGTCTCATCATCCTTGATCCCTCTATATGACATCCAAATACATCAACATTTTTTTAAACTTGTAAATAAGCACCGTATGTGAGCTTACAACTCTTTCACTTTTAGCGCCGCAGGCAAAAATTTTAAAAATTATGGTAAGCCAAGGCTCCAGATTTCTTTCAATTTCTGCGCCGCTGGCGAAAAGTTTAAGAATTTTGGAGGTCCTTAAGTCAGTTTTCTTTGATTTTTCAGCGCCGCAGGCGAAAATTTTATAATTTTGGAAAATCCAGGGCCAATTTTCTTCCTTTTTTTGCGCCGCAGGCAAAAATTTTGAGAATTTTGGAAGATCCTTAAGCCAGTATTCTTCCCTTTTCGGCGCCGCAGGCGAAAATTTTGAAAAGTTTGAAAGGCCATTGGGGAAGTTTTCTTCTTTTTTCCCTAGTTCTAGGAACCGAACCGAAAATTTCGGATATCCGGAACCGGAACCGATATCCGAACCGAAACTTTCGGATATCCGGAACCGGAACCGGTATCCGAACCGAAGATTTCGGATATCCGGATCCGGAACCGGTATCCGAACCGAAAATTTCCGGATATCCGAGGTTTTTTCGGTTCCGGATACCCGGAACCGCCAACCTTACTTGGAAAGTATACAATGTTTATTATTGTTATTTTAATATTGAAAATAATAATAATACAGCTAAAATAAATAATTCAAAAAAGATTTCATACAAATTTCCTTCTAAAATATCGGTCTATTCACTTTGGTTGTATACAGTGTTTGGGATTTCGAAATTTGCCCGTACTGTACTTCCGTACAGGAAAGTTATGAAAGTTATGGCTTTGCGCGTTCTGGGCTGTACCCTTATATTTTTGCTCGTACTCGTACTTCGTATACAGCTATGTGTACGAATTTAGGTACGGTGTTTCAAACACTGGTTGAGATGCGTTTTTTGATCGCGATTGGGAACAGACGTGGGCGAAACGTTTCGTTTCGTTTCGTTGTTTCGTATGTTTCGTATGATTTTTACTGTTTCGTCTCGTTTCGTTACGAAACACTTTTAAATTTGTTTCGTTTCGTTTCGTTACGAAACACCTGTGATTTTTCAACGAAACGAAAGCTACATTTTATGTTAAAATTTATGAAAATCAAGAGAAAATGTTCGGAGTTATTAGCACAATTATTGTGGTAGAAATTTTAAATATTTAGCATAATAATTAAATTTAAATTAAACATTATAGTGGTTATTAAGTTTAATGTTTGGCCTTTACATTTACATTACAACACAAATGGATACAGACACATTTAGTCATCCAGTCGTTTATGTAACATTAACAAATAATTATAATTCTCACCCACTTATATACTTAAACTCGTTCCTCCTGTTTTTGGCTATAGCTGATTATTATTTAATTCGTCGGAATCAAAAAATTAAATTAAATTTGTATGTATTTTTAAGATATTTACATACAAATAAATCAGTTAATTTATTAAATTTAAAGTTTCAAAACCACAACAAACTACAGTTTAAACAAAAGTTATCAAGCTAAGCAAAATATTCTTTCAATGAAAACCATTTTTCCCCTTGATTTTTCTTATTCATTTATCTACACAATATTTATTATTTCGACAAACTTTATTCGATATAAACGTGAAGAATATGGCCAGCTTGTGTATATACGGGCACATGAAGGCTTAACTCTAGTAAATATTTAAAAATTTTAAAATAAATTAACGACAAAACTATAACCTCCTTTCCTACGATAATTGGGGTTGCCAAAATGGCCCTACTCGGACCGAAAGATCGAGTCGAGCCTAAGATATTTGGCTCGAAGGAGACTTAAATTGCCGACTCGAAAAAGGCAACCCTATTTCTAATGAATAAATTAATTTTAAATTTTCACCAACTATTCTAAAAAGTCCTTTTAATTTAGTTAATTTTCATTCACGCCATAATAACATTAATTGTCTACAACTATTTTTTAAAGAAGCAAAATGAAATTAAAAAGAATTTTGTTAAAATTAATATGAATATAAGTTCAGAAATGTATTTTAAAAATTTAAATCTTTCCTGGAAATGAATTTTTTGTCTAATTATTTTTTAAATAAATTACTGATTTTAATAATAATTTTATGTATTAATTGGGAAAAAAAATTTTTATCTTTATAAATAAATAAAAACAAAAAAAAGTTAAATAAACGAAGTATTAAGTAATATAGTTAGTATAGTTTAGATAAACAAAAGTAATTTCATCCCATTCTATATGAACTATTCCTTTGTTGTCTTTCCAACTCAATCCTTTTAGTAACTTCTCTTTCAATAACTTTAAATACAACAATAACAAAAACAATTAGAAATAACCCCATAAATAATATTTTAATCAAAGATCGCCACAAAATTTGTCTGTCATTGTATTCTTCTTCAGATCTATCTTTAAAAAATAATTTTGATAATTGAAAATCGAAAACTTTATTTTTGGAGAAGAAATTTGTCATTAGCAGTAGAGCAAGGCTGGGCGCAACTGCGGATTGCGTGAAATTACGTTATTTTGGACTTGCGAATTGCGAATTTTAAAATTAAAATTGTGGATTGCGGACTTTTGGCCAAAATTTTTACACGCATCTTCGACAGTGTATCAAATGGGCACTTCGAAAATTCTTTATTATTCTTGTTCCTTATTTATTTTTCTATAATATGGCTTTTATTTTACCACATTATACATATTTAATTTTGATAGTTATGACATAAATAACATGTCCCATGTTATTTATGTCATAACTATCAAACCTGTAGAGGCAGTTATTTTTAAGGTAATGTTGGCAAATTGTATTTTCAGTAATGGTACCGGTATTAATACTGAATAAATTTAGCTTTTGTTATAATTTTTTAATAATTAATTTTAACAAATTAATTTTTTAATTACTAAATCATAATTACCAAACGATTGAGAACTAGAGGAAGGCAAATAGTAAGAAACACATTCATGTGCCATTAAAACCCTGACATGCGATTCTTGATTATCAATAAATATATTTTGAATATGTGGACCGTAGGGACTTGAGTTGAGATCAATATTAGATTCTTGCATTATTTTAAAAAGTTTAATTAAAACTGAAAAACTGAAGAAAAAAATTATTGAAAAGGAACTTTTAAAAGTTTTTTTTGTTTGTTTTTATGGGAATTGAGAGGAATTTCAGAGGAATTCCGTAATCAAAAGTAAAAATTATTACGCAAAAATAGTATTAATAAACTCACTAAAAACATTTAATTATTTTTATCTAAATCCTCTTAAATAATTCAAAATAAAGTAAGAGTATTAAGTAGTTAATACTCTTACTATTTTTACCAGTAGTACCTAAAGTAATTGAACAATAAAAATATTTTGGTAAAAATGTTTGTAGGATTTTTATTTTCAGACAGAATAGCTAGATCAGGTAAGAAGGGAACATTTGGGGTACAAGAGAAGGAACCAAAAAAACGTGAGGTTAATTGCGAGTCTCCTCGTTGTCTCTCGAAGGTAGGAAGGACGGGAAGTACAATATAATAAAAATTATTATCTTTACATTAAATTTTATCAAAAATAATAAAATATGAATGTGAATTTTAATTTTAATTTTTTTTTTCAAAATTTAACTCTTTTGAAAACAATCTTTTCTAGCATACAAAAAATGACAGGCAAAAAAAGAACGAAAAAAACGAGAATGATTCATAACAACTGGAAATTATTTTTATTGATTTAAATGTAAATATAGTAAAATGAGCAAAGGGGAAAGAAATATGGTTGTTAAAGATTTTTGATTTTAAAATATTTTTAAAATTAATAATTTAGAAATAGTAAAAGAAAAGAATTTTTTTTAAATATTTATTTTTTACATATTTATGAAATATCTAAGCAAATAATTTGTTATAACGAAAACCGTCGAGTGATTAGATGGAAGATGAAAGAAATTCGGCCTTCCAAAATTCTCAAAATTTTCGCCTGCGGCGCTGAAAATGGAATAATTATGAGGATATCGAAAGATTTAGAGTAGTCTCCTCGATTGGCCGACTTTTGCGGCCTGTACACTTGCGGCCCAGACATTTGCGGCCCAGACACTTGCGGCTCGCCCCCATTTTGACACTTGCGGTCCCGACACTTGCGGCTAAGAAATTTTCGGCGCAGACATTTGCGGCTATCAACTTGAGGCCCAGACACTTGCGGCCCAGACTATTGCGGTTTTGACATTTGAGGCTCCCCCTATTGTGACACTTGCGGCCCCGACATTTGCGGCCATGATTAAAAAATTAACTAAATTAAAATATTATTAGAATTAAAATATTATAAAATTCATGAATTTATATGAATTAAAAATAATATTTACATTATAGTTTAAACCCGGACCGGATCCGGTCGGATTTTCCGGATCCGGTGGTCCAGAATCCGGGTATTTTGATAAAACCTTATTTTCCGGATTTTGATCCGGAAAATTCGATCTGGGTCGAGCAAGATACCCTTATTCGGTCCGGGTCCGATATAAAAAATTTTCCCTCGTAATGGTGGAAAATAGAAAAATTTGGGTTGGGATCCTGGTAAATTGCTTGGGATCATGGTAAAAATTTGGGATCCTGGTAAATTTGAATATCAACCGATATCCAACCAAATATATCAAAGGCATCTACTGAGGAAATGAAATGGATAAAAGGGCACGAAATATCGAAATGAAATGAAACGAAATTTCGGTTATCTCTGGTCCGGATCCGGGTCTAAAAAATTCGGAGTTCCGGATACCCCGGATTATGATGCCAAGGAGAATAAACGTGATTTATTAAACGATAAATTAGTATTTTTTTATTTTAATTTAGTTAATTTTTTAATCATGGCCGCAAATGTCGGGGCCGCAAATGTCAAAACCGCAAATGTCGGGCCGCAAGTGTCACAATAGGGGGGAGCCTCAAATGTCAAAACCGCAATAGTCTGGGCCGCAAGTGTCTGGGCCTCAAGTTGATAGCCGCAAATGTCTGCGCCGAAAATTTCTTAGCCGCAAGTGTCGGGACCGCAAGTGTCAAAATGGGGGCGAGCCGCAAGTGTCTGGGCCGCAAATGTCTGGGCCGCAAGTGTACAGGCCGCAAAAGTCGCATCACCGTCTCCTCGTTGTCTTAGAATAGTCTCCTTTAGAGTAGTCTCCTCAATTTTATCTATTGATCACTCTTAATCCTCCAAAATGCACCAATATCCCTCAATCCTTCTTTTTTACCTCAAATCACTTTATCCTTGATACACTGATATTTCTTAAATATCCCTTAATTAAGAACCCCTTTTATCACTCGATATCAATCCCCTTACTTCTTACTCATACATTTAACTCCTCGTAATTTCTTCTAATCCCTCACTAAAAAAGGAAATTGCCGGCATTTTTGGCTCATGAATTCACGCGATTAATGAAAATCGTAATTCGAAATTTCAGGAATTCACGATTCCCGAAAATCGGATTAGGTTTTCTGCCGGCCTGTTATAATGTACTATTAGTTTCGCAGGTAACAAAATTTGACAATAAAAATGTACGATAAAAAATTTTTCAGAATATAAATTATTTATCAAAAATTTATTAAAAGATTATAATCGAAAAGTATTTTAGTTTAAATTATATATTAAATTTAAATACCAGAATATTTGTGAATAAATTTATGTCTTCCCGTATATGTATTTATTTGTTACTTTGATTTTTATTTATCCCATTATACCCATCATCCATTTATCCGCATGAAATTAAGGTACTATTTCTGCTGAACAAACTGTTGTGGTTACAACCGATTCAGGTCCTGATGGGTAACCTTGTTTTGGTGGCTTTGCTGATGCTTTTCCTCCTTTTGGGGGTTTTGTAGCTTCAGGCAAATCAACGGGTTCTGACGGGTAACCTTGTTTTGGTGGCTTTGCAGATGCTTTTCCTCCTTTTGGGGGTTTTGTAGCTTCAGGCAAATCACCGGGATAGCCAGGTTCTTGAGTTGTTAAAGGCAAATCATCGGGTCTTGATGGGTAACCTTGTTTTGGTGGCTTTGTATGTTTTTGCTTTTTGCCTTTATCACAATCATCTTCTGGCTTGGGTGACACGTTACAACCGCTCATTTGGCTGAAATAACGGTTACAGACACGTCCGCATTTTTCAACTGTACATGGCTTTGGAGTTGGACACAATGAGCCGCCAGTAGATTGAATTTTCTCAACTTCCTTGCAGCATTTGTCGACTTTCTTGTTTTTCCTTAGATTGCTCTTGCAAAAATCAGGAATATCTGATGTGCTAGCTGGAGTGCTCACATCACCTGAAATTGCTTCTTTTATTTAAAATCGTTTTTTAGCCACTAAACTCTCATTTGAATTTTTGATTTAAAAAATTCAAAATCGATACATTAAAATATTTTTCACCTTGATCTACAGGCCCTTCTGGGTAATTTGATAATTGGCCTAAAGAAATTGTAATAGCCATAAAACCAATGCAAGTCACAAATAATAATTTCATTTTTAAAAACTTTTATTCAGAAGATTTGATTTTTATTTAATGTTAATTAAATTCCTGTTTTATCCCTAATTGACTAAACGCTTTTAAAGGCTTTGTATCATCTTTTTTTATTAAATTTTTATTAAAGCTGTCCAAATAATTTTATATATATTTTATGCGTAGTACCCCCCAAAATTCATCTTTTCTAAAATTTAGCTTTCAAAAAATCAATCTTCACATATAAATTTAATTGAATCTTTTTTAAACACGTGAATTTATATGCGTAAATGCTTTTTAAAAAATTTATTTTCCATATTTAGAAACTTTGAAAAATTATAGAGTTTCAATCAACGTGGATATACACGCTGAAAACTTAATTTAGCATGTTAGAGAAAGAGAAAATTCCTGCCGTTAAATTTTTAATAGAGATTAAAGAATTAAATAGAGTTCGATATCTCAAATTTAGGGCCCCAAATCAGGCTTATTAATTTTGCATGGACCTGGGCTGGGTTTCAGGGCTAAAACCTTGAAATCCCCTAAAAGGCTTATATTTTAGACCAGGATCGGTTTTTTATTTTGTCAAATTTGTTAAAGTCGAATGACCCCAAATTCGACTTTATTCGACTTTTGGTGTCATTCGACCTGGTGTTAATACTTTTTTAAAGTTAGACATGCTGCTAAAGTCAAATTTTTAATTTAAATATTCAAAAAAATTCACATGAAAAGCAAAGATGTAGCTAGACATTATGAAATTGCACTTGCAAGGCGATGCTGTTATTTATTTCTTAAATAATTAATAATTTTTAAAAAATAATATTTATTATTTTATTTTTTCCACTAAATAACAGGTTAAGAATTAATAAATCCTTAATTTAATTGAAATAATTTTAATTTCTTTCTCTCGCAATTAATTTGTATTTTTTCCGCCACTGAAGATTTTTATTTTCTTATTACTCCATATTCATAACACTTTTTAATATATTTAGAAATTATCTTTAAAATTATGAAATTTAATTTACTGTTAACTTTTATTATTCTTTTATTTTTTTATATTATTGAAATTAATTCTGAAAATAACAAAAAATTAATTTATCAATTAATGGATGCTCATGAAATTAGTTTTAATGAAAAAGATAATTACTATAGAGAATTTAAAGAAAAATTTAAAATAATATTAATAAATAAGGAAATAAAAATTGAAGAAATTGTCAAATATTTTGAAAAATTTCTCGAAGAAAGTAAAAGGAAAGAAATTTTGGAAAATATGCTTGCTGTAGAAGGAGGTTATTCTGTTGTAGAAGGGGAGGAGGGGGGGGGACGGGGTTGGAAAAAATTTTATTTTGAAAAGTTGTCAAATTTTTATTTTATCACTTTTGAAAATTTTTTGCAAACTACATTCAAATATAAATATTTTAGTGAAGTTTTTGGAATTTAATATTTGGGCAATCTTTCGTTGGGACTGCATTATAACTTTCCATGAATCTGTGAATTTGAGAATTTTATTATGAAATTTAATTATTTAATCTCCATATTCATAACACTTGTTGATTGTTAATAATAACCTTAGTTATAAAATTAAGAAATTGTCAAAGAATTGCTAGAAAATCCAAATTCCTGGCAAATCGCATAAATTGCTAGGTTCATCATTTGATGGATTAGGTATTCTAAATTTTCGTGTTTCAATCAGTGCATATAACCAATCAACTTGTACAAATTACAGTCCATATAAAATTCCTTTCTTATTTTCAGATAATATATCAACTTCATTTGACAAAAAAATTTTTAGCGAAAAAGTAAAAAATAAATTATTCGAAAAAGGATATGAAACAGCAAATTTGGGTCTTTCAAATGAACCTTTTGTTTATGCAGTAATAAATGTAATTTTAAGAGAAAAAATTAGTAAATTAATTATTGAAAGTAAAGATTATTTACCTTTGGATAAAACATTTAAATTGACAAAAATATTAAAATTATTTGAATATAATGATAAAAGAGGACTTTTTTATTTTAACAAAAATAAAAAGAAATTAGAAAAAAAAATTAAAAATTTAAATTTAGAAATACAAAAAAATAAATTAAATCAGAATTTAACGACAATTAATGAAATTGAAAGAGAAGAATAGGAACAAGGAAGGAAGTACATATGTAGTAAAAGTATTAATTCTGAAATATTTATTGAAATTAAACAAGAAAAGGAAAAATTAAATTCAGAATTTTGTTTCAATGATTTGGGTTGATATTATGTAAAGATTTAAATAAAAAAATTTTTTAATTTTTAGTAGTTATAAAATAATAATTTAAACTTTTATTTATACATAAATAGTGTTGACTAGTAGTAAGACCAACGTATCCGTAGGCAGAGAAAAAGGGCAATAGCGTAGGCAGTCGGGAGATAGATAAAGAGATAAATAATTTTTAAATTAAGTCCCTCTATTTTCCTCAATTTTCGGGGACCCCTTTTCGTTTGTTAAATAAGAAAATTTAATTTCGGCTCACACTAATCCAATTATGTAAATTTAATTTCTCAAAACTTATTTTTAATCTTTTTGAGGTCAATCTATTCTATTTCTGAAAAAGATTAACCTAAAAACTTCTTTCTATTATTTAAAACCATTAATAGACCAAAAGATTTAACTTTGCAAAAACTGAAAAACTTTGCTACCATTCTTTTATTATGTACATAATATATACAATAACATATATACAAAATATATACAATAACATATATACAAAAAATTTTATAAATATACAAATATGATTTTTTTGATTCTTTTTTGTGTTCTTATTTTTTTTTGATTTTATATTTTATGTTTTTTTTTACGTTTTTGGATTTTTACGTTTTTTTTTGATTTTATATTTCTTTAATTGTGGGATGGGATCGTCATTTTAAAAAATCTTATTTAACATTTGGCACCGAAACGTCTTTTACAGAAGCCTTTGATTGCTATTAATTTTTACTATAAAAGTAAATTACTCTTTTTAAGATATTCATTACTACACTAAAGTAACTACACTTAAAAACATCCGTCGTATAATTGACCAAGCCTCGTGTTACTCTTGTTCTCAACAGTCACACAATGTTACTTCGCTACCAATGCAACAAGGACAGAACCAGCTCGTTCAGTGAAGTGATGGCTACTGCTCTGATGTTGGTGATGTTGCTTCAGTTGGGTCAGTTTTCCTTTCAATTTTATTTTACGTTTCTAATTAAAAAAATTTCAGCAATCTGTTTGTGTGCAGCTTCTGAAGAGCAGAGTTGCGTCGTAATTGAAAAATTTTTTTCGTAATCGTAATTCGTAATTTTAAAAAAATTTTCGTAATCGTAATTCGTAATTCGTAACTGAAAAAATGCCGTAATTCGTAATTCGTAATCGTAATTCGTAATTTTTTAAAAATATTTAAATTAATTTAAAAAATCAAATATCTGTTAATAATTGCTGCTGTTACCATAATCCCTCCAAGTCTCTTAATCCTAATAATAAATCTTCTCCAAGTCTCTTAATATCTCTTAATCCTAATAATCCTCCGATATCTCTTCAATCAATGATGCGGAATCATTGTCCAGATTAAGGTTTGATATCATGTTTAATCTCTCTCACTTAATCCTGAGCCAAAACTCTTATATTTTAGGCGCCGCAGGCGAAAATTTTTAGAAAATTCATGACTAAATTAAAAATTTTAAAGTTTTTTCAATTTTAAGATATTAAAAATATAAATTTACAAACCTAAAATTACAATCAAAGTTTAAAAACATTTATTTTCGAAAAAAATGAATTGTCTAAATGTTATTTACAACACATGGATTCGAACCAAGCCTCACAAAATATCAAATGATGAAGCTTGACTTTTAACCCACTCAACCACCGATAAACAAAAGTAACTGCGAGAAAAAATATAAATATTTCAAATATTTCTTCCCCTTCTCATTCTAAAATTTAATGGCAAAATTATTTTCGTAATTCGTAATTTTCCTTATATTTTCGTAATCGTAATTCGTAATTCGTAATTTAAAAATTTTTTTCGTAATCGTAATTCGTAATTCGTAACTGAAAAAACGCCGTAATTCGTAATTCGTAATCGTAATTCGTAATTACGACGCAACTCTGCTGAAGAGGTCGAGACTACTATGGATGGTTATAACCCGAAATTGAATGACACTACTTTGCCGGACAGAGTGAGTAAGATGAAGTTAATTATTCTTAGGCATCCCTATCTTAATCGTTTAGAAACTTGAAATGGGTCTTTCGAATAGTTTTCAAACACTTGTACTTTTCCTTAATTTTCAGGTCAAGCGAAACCCACCGCCAGCACCCAGTAATAACGACAACTCGAAATGCGTCAAGGATCCTGCACAAATTCATGGTAAAACTTTTGCTAGAGAAAAAATCTAAATTTTTTAAATACAGAAAGTTCGCGTGGAATTGTGGCTTTAGACTCTTGCGTGGTCTTTATTCTCTGCCTGGGTCTGATGCTCGCGGATGTGTGTGGACGTGGAAACAAAAACTATTGATGTGGAGTGAAGAACAAATAGAGGAGAGAATATAACTAAAGATGATTGGAAGTCATCACAATGAGGACTGGATCCCGTGTGGAATTTTCAGGATCCAGTCCTACATTTTTTATCTATTAAACGTAGGATTAACTCAGATTCTTGGGTTAATCCTACGAAACAAGACTAAAAAAACTATGTTTTCAGGCTCAGAAAAAAAATTTTTGAGGGATTTAGAAAGTGAAAAAATTGAAGCAATCCCATCCTTGCTTTTTTTACAAAATATTTTTGAGGGGTTTACAGGAGTAAAAATATTTTTGGGGGGTTTACAGGAGGAGTAATTAATTTAATGGGTTGTAAATAACCGGCTTCGATGTCGGCATAGCGGGCATCTGATTTCTGCTGATGCGGCAGCCTCCATTGCCAATCTGGAGCACCCTTCACAGTAGACCAAGTGGCCGCAAATTAAGAATCGGGTGGGACGAGCATCATTACAACTTACACATCTATCATGCTCATAAATTCGGACTCTCCGAACCACACCGTCATCTAATTTAGGAAAAAATAATTAATGTAAGGATGATTCATCCAGCAGCATTTAAAACGCTTAGGCGGGGGTTAAACGATCTAAAAAAGGAAAAAGAGAAAGCATTAGTCGATGCCCCGGTAGCTCAGAGGTAGAGCTCCTGCATATAGCGAGCGAAAGCGGGAGGTCGCAGGTTCGAATCCTGCCCGGTGGCTAAACTTTTGCAAAACTCTTTCTTTAACAATAACAGCTTTGCTTGTAAATCCCGAGGCAACAAGGTATTAACTACCATTACCACTAACCTATGTGATTGATTTATACCAAAAAGTAAACGAAAGGTTATTCTGATTAAATAGAGGGGCGGGATATTAATAAAGCATAGATCTTTATTAAATTTTAAATAAACTAAACTGTTCACATAGAAAATCCGACCAACCATCTCAATTTCATTGTCCACCCCCATTTGAAGAGCCTGGTCCTATTTGAGATTTTTATTTAAAAAATCAAAAGAAAAATAGGGATAAATGATATACCTTCAGATGGGTTATTCTGACTCCAAATTGGACGAGTAGACGCTGGGCTAACATCATATCTTGCACGGCGTATGAAAGAAATATATTTAATTGGCTGATATCATAATTAATTGATGATAATTCATCAATTAAATTCTGAATATCACCCATTTTCAGAATAATATAAATTTAATTTAAATAATTTTAATATTTTTAAATTTTAAATAGTTTTTAATAGCCAAACAAATTCTATTTATAAGCACAAGTCAACCTTGAAAACACCTTATATAAATCCACAAAGATAATTTTTATAATATATAATCTCCGTTTTTTCCTTTATAAGCGTTTTCTTAAAATTAGCTGAATTTCATACAATTATTTTCCATTTTTATGATAATTTTCAAATCCTTAATCTTCTTTTTTTCTATATATTCTTAGTATTTTTATTTATCCTTTATATATTTTATTCTGAGGAGAACCTGATGGTTAATAATAGGTGAAAAGATTATTTAAAAATCAAACAGAGAAACCTTGTCCTAAAAATTTCAAACCAAAACTCAAATAATTTTTCCAAATCTTTTCTTTCTAGTTAAAAAACATTGAAATATTTAAAAAATATTGCATTATATTCAACTTCGTTTGGAGGCTTCTTCAATTACTGTAGAATCAGAACCTGTAGAATATCAATCAGAAGCCTCAACGTTTTAGTGTTTTTGAAGCTAGAATTTTGCTTTTACTGGATCTTTATGTGTTGAGGGAAAAGGGTTTGAAATTGGTTGTTATATAATTTAAATATTTTTATAATTAAAATAGATGTGTTAAATTTTTAAACATTTTTAAGATTTTATTTTGAAAACAAAACCTATTTAAAAATATTTTTCTCCTACAGTTATTATAGTTGGAGAGAATACAGTAATTGACCAAACAGATAAATTAACAACCGGACAAGAATCTAATGGCTCGAGATTAGAGTCACAAATAAGAAAATTTTAAATTTCTTATAATAATGGCTTGTTCTGTTGCTTCTATAATATTTATATTTGGGGGATTTGTCCATCATTGGAAAGATGTTACACATTTATTGGCAAATGGATTTCTTGTTTGTGCTATTGGAATGGTAAAAAAAATTATTTCAAAAATTTTTTAAGATATTTAAAGGTTCCTTGTGGAGTATTATTGTCTGTTACTTCTGTTACTTTAAAGTATTATGTTACTTTAAAGTATTATTGCCTGTTACTTCAATTTTAACACTTGTAACAAGACGTTTGGCAAATCGAAATGTTTATGTAAAAAGATTAGATATTTGTGAGGCTTTAGGGCAAGTGAGTATTATTGTCTCTAAAACTAGGACTTTGACAAGAAATGAAATGACAGTTACCGGACTTTGGAATTTTGATGGGTTTATAAATGGTAAATATTTATTTGATTGAAAAATTTTTAGTTATTAAAGACTAATTAATTTCCAAAAATTCATTAAATTAACTTAAAGGATATCCACAAAGTGAACATCAATTAACACTTAATTCGTTTTGAAGTGAAGTAATACCATCAACACCAACAACAGCACCTCCATGGACTTTACGAGGGTAATAGATTTCCACATCCAATTTCTGATATATTAACTTGGGCACTATCTGAAAGGAGGTGCGGGATCATATTTTTTCCTCCTTCCTTACACAACCTTTCATTTTTCCTTAATATGAAAAAATGGTCAGTCTTTTCCTCGCTCTTAATTTTCCCAGTGACATATTCAAATGGAGACATTAATAAGGAAAGGATTAATTTTTTCACATTGCCATTGTCAGGACAGAACAGACAGAAGATGGAACGACAAAAAGGTCGGACATGTCACCGTCTTACCAGATCACGGACCAGATCTTTGGTCAGTTTTTGGTCATTCCGTGTTATGATCGCTCTGTTATTTGGTCGTTCCTTGATTTGGTAAGACGGTGTTTTGTCTTTTCCGAGTTTTGGTATGATTCGTGTCTTATCTGTTCCCTAAGTTAGCCTGACACGATTCAAAAATCATAAATGATGACCATTTTCATTTGAATATGCCACAAGGAATTTTAGTAAAATAACGAAGGAAGAAAGGCTGACCATTTTTTCATATTAAGGAAAAATGAAAGGTTGTGTAAGGAAGGAGGAAAAAATATGATGCCGCACCTCCTTTCAGATAGTGCCCAAGTTAATATATCAGAAATTGGATGTGGAAATCTATTACCCTCGTAAAGTCCATGGAGGTGCTGTTGTTGGTGTTGATGGTATTACTTCACTTCAAAACGAATTAAGTGTTAATTGATGTTCACTTTGTGGATATCCTTTAAGTTAATTTAATGAATTTTTGGAAATTAATTAGTCTTTAATAACTAAAAATTTTTCAATCAAATAAATATTTACCATTTATAAACCCATCAAAATTCCAAAGTCCGGTAACTGTCATTTCATTTCTTGTCAAAGTCCTAGTTTTAGAGACAATAATACTCACTTGCCCTAAAGCCTCACAAATATCTAATCTTTTTACATAAACATTTCGATTTGCCAAACGTCTTGTTACAAGTGTTAAAATTGAAGTAACAGGCAATAATACTTTAAAGTAACATAATACTTTAAAGTAACAGAAGTAACAGACAATAATACTCCACAAGGAACCTTTAAATATCTTAAAAAATTTTTGAAATAATTTTTTTTACCATTCCAATAGCACAAACAAGAAATCCATTTGCCAATAAATGTGTAACATCTTTCCAATGATGGACAAATCCCCCAAATATAAATATTATAGAAGCAACAGAACAAGCCATTATTATAAGAAATTTAAAATTTTCTTATTTGTGACTCTAATCTCGAGCCATTAGATTCTTGTCCGGTTGTTAATTTATCTGTTTGGTCAATTACTGTATTCTCTCCAACTATAATAACTGTAGGAGAAAAATATTTTTAAATAGGTTTTGTTTTCAAAATAAAATCTTAAAAATGTTTAAAAATTTAACACATCTATTTTAATTATAAAAATATTTAAATTATATAACAACCAATTTCAAACCCTTTTCCCTCAACACATAAAGATCCAGTAAAAGCAAAATTCTAGCTTCAAAAACACTAAAACGTTGAGGCTTCTGATTGATATTCTACAGGTTCTGATTCTACAGTAATTGAAGAAGCCTCCAAACGAAGTTGAATATAATGCAATATTTTTTAAATATTTCAATGTTTTTTAACTAGAAAGAAAAGATTTGGAAAAATTATTTGAGTTTTGGTTTGAAATTTTTAGGACAAGGTTTCTCTGTTTGATTTTTAAATAATCTTTTCACCTATTATTAACCATCAGGTTCTCCTCAGAATAAAATATATAAAGGATAAATAAAAATACTAAGAATATATAGAAAAAAAGAAGATTAAGGATTTGAAAATTATCATAAAAATGGAAAATAATTGTATGAAATTCAGCGAATTTTAAGAAAACGCTTATAAAGGAAAAAACGGAGATTATATATTATAAAAATTATCTTTGTGGATTTATATAAGGTGTTTTCAAGGTTGACTTGTGCTTATAAATAGAATTTGTTTGGCTATTAAAAACTATTTAAAATTTAAAAATATTAAAATTATTTAAATTAAATTTATATTATTCTGAAAATGGGTGATATTCAGAATTTAATTGATGAATTATCATCAATTAATTATGATATCAGCCAATTAAATATATTTCTTTCATACGCCGTGCAAGATATGATGTTAGCCCAGCGTCTACTCGTCCAATTTGGAGTCAGAATAACCCATCTGAAGGTATATCATTTATCCCTATTTTTCTTTTGATTTTTTAAATAAAAATCTCAAATAGGACCAGGCTCTTCAAATGGGGGTGGACAATGAAATTGAGATGGTTGGTCGGATTTTCTATGTGAACAGTTTAGTTTATTTAAAATTTAATAAAGATCTATGCTTTATTAATATCCCGCCCCTCTATTTAATCAGAATAACCTTTCGTTTACTTTTTGGTATAAATCAATCACATAGGTTAGTGGTAATGGTAGTTAATACCTTGTTGCCTCGGGATTTACAAGCAAAGCTGTTATTGTTAAAGAAAGAGTTTTGCAAAAGTTTAGCCACCGGGCAGGATTCGAACCTGCGACCTCCCGCTTTCGCTCGCTATATGCAGGAGCTCTACCTCTGAGCTACCGGGGCATCGACTAATGCTTTCTCTTTTTCCTTTTTTAGATCGTTTAACCCCCGCCTAAGCGTTTTAAATGCTGCTGGATGAATCATCCTTACATTAATTATTTTTTCCTAAATTAGATGACGGTGTGGTTCGGAGAGTCCGAATTTATGAGCATGATAGATGTGTAAGTTGTAATGATGCTCGTCCCACCCGATTCTTAATTTGCGGCCACTTGGTCTACTGTGAAGGGTGCTCCAGATTGGCAATGGAGGCTGCCGCATCAGCAGAAATCAGATGCCCGCTATGCCGACATCGAAGCCGGTTATTTACAACCCATTAAATTAATTACTCCTCCTGTAAACCCCCCAAAAATATTTTTACTCCTGTAAACCCCTCAAAAATATTTTGTAAAAAAAGCAAGGATGGGATTGCTTCAATTTTTTCACTTTCTAAATCCCTCAAAAATTTTTTTTCTGAGCCTGAAAACATAGTTTTTTTAGTCTTGTTTCGTAGGATTAACCCAAGAATCTGAGTTAATCCTACGTTTAATAGATAAAAAATGTAGGACTGGATCCTGAAAATTCCACACGGGATCCAGTCCTCATTGTGATGACTTCCAATCATCTTTAGTTATATTCTCTCCTCTATTTGTTCTTCACTCCACATCAATAGTTTTTGTTTCCACGTCCACACACATCCGCGAGCATCAGACCCAGGCAGAGAATAAAGACCACGCAAGAGTCTAAAGCCACAATTCCACGCGAACTTTCTGTATTTAAAAAATTTAGATTTTTTCTCTAGCAAAAGTTTTACCATGAATTTGTGCAGGATCCTTGACGCATTTCGAGTTGTCGTTATTACTGGGTGCTGGCGGTGGGTTTCGCTTGACCTGAAAATTAAGGAAAAGTACAAGTGTTTGAAAACTATTCGAAAGACCCATTTCAAGTTTCTAAACGATTAAGATAGGGATGCCTAAGAATAATTAACTTCATCTTACTCACTCTGTCCGGCAAAGTAGTGTCATTCAATTTCGGGTTATAACCATCCATAGTAGTCTCGACCTCTTCAGAAGCTGCACACAAACAGATTGCTGAAATTTTTTTAATTAGAAACGTAAAATAAAATTGAAAGGAAAACTGACCCAACTGAAGCAACATCACCAACATCAGAGCAGTAGCCATCACTTCACTGAACGAGCTGGTTCTGTCCTTGTTGCATTGGTAGCGAAGTAACATTGTGTGACTGTTGAGAACAAGAGTAACACGAGGCTTGGTCAATTATACGACGGATGTTTTTAAGTGTAGTTACTTTAGTGTAGTAATGAATATCTTAAAAAGAGTAATTTACTTTTATAGTAAAAATTAATAGCAATCAAAGGCTTCTGTAAAAGACGTTTCGGTGCCAAATGTTAAATAAGATTTTTTAAAATGACGATCCCATCCCACAATTAAAGAAATATAAAATCAAAAAAAAACGTAAAAATCCAAAAACGTAAAAAAAAACATAAAATATAAAATCAAAAAAAAATAAGAACACAAAAAAGAATCAAAAAAATCATATTTGTATATTTATAAAATTTTTTGTATATATGTTATTGTATATATTTTGTATATATGTTATTGTATATATTATGTACATAATAAAAGAATGGTAGCAAAGTTTTTCAGTTTTTGCAAAGTTAAATCTTTTGGTCTATTAATGGTTTTAAATAATAGAAAGAAGTTTTTAGGTTAATCTTTTTCAGAAATAGAATAGATTGACCTCAAAAAGATTAAAAATAAGTTTTGAGAAATTAAATTTACATAATTGGATTAGTGTGAGCCGAAATTAAATTTTCTTATTTAACAAACGAAAAGGGGTCCCCGAAAATTGAGGAAAATAGAGGGACTTAATTTAAAAATTATTTATCTCTTTATCTATCTCCCGACTGCCTACGCTATTGCCCTTTTTCTCTGCCTACGGATACGTTGGTCTTACTACTTTGACTCTACAAAATATAAAAACTTTTATCAGTATTAAAAAATTTATTTTAGAAATTTTAAATTGAATGAAATTTGTGGTAAGGTTAAGGATTATTTTAAAAGAAATTTTACAGAATTTTTCTTCAAAAAATATCACCAAAACCTTTATTAGTCTGTCACAAAGACACGAAAATATGTATAATTACTAAAATTATACGTCTTTATGGCAGATAAAATTTTTTTAAAATAATTTAGAAAATTTATTAATTTTACAAAAAATTTTAAATTAACAATCATTTAAACAAGAAAAATTGTGCAAAAAATTATTTGCAAATTTTACAAAAATTTTACTTCGATTTCTAATTTAATAAATATTAAGAATTAAAGCTTTTTATATTTATAAAAAATTAATAATTTTTATTAATAAATTTATAAAAAATTAATAATAAAATTAATAATTTTTTTCAATTTAACATAATGTCTAGAAATTTTAAATTTGATCTATTATATTATAAATTTTATTAAATTATTTAATAAATTTAAATAAAGTTTTGTTATGTAGTTCCAACTTTTGTTTATTTAATTAAGAAAATGCTCATTCATTCATTTACACTTGTACATAATTTTTAATAGATTTTAAATTTTAATAAATTTGCTCAATTTTCTATTTAATTTTTTTATCAAAAATAAATTGATTATTTTTCAAAAAATTTTTTTTTGCAAAAATTTAAAGAAATATTTTTAATTAAAATAAAAAAAATTTATTTAAATAAAAATTCAAAATTTTTATACAAAATTTTAATTTTATAATTTTTTTGACCTTTAAATTTTATATTTTTACTTAAATTTTAAAAGTCCTAAAATAAATAAATTTAATTATTATTTAATTTAGTTTTAATTTTTTATTAATTTATTAAAACTAAATGAAAATAATTTTGGATTTTTTATAAACCGATGTTTAAATTTAATGGTTTATAATTTATTTAATAGTAGTTTTGTTAAAAAAATTTTTTAAATAAAAATTAATTAAAACTACAATATTTATTTAAAACGACTAATTCGCGAAATTTATTTTTTATTTTAAATATCAAATGAAATACAATTCGAATTCTTTTTCATAATTAGTAAATATATATAGAATTACATAGAATTACATTAAATTTAAATTTGTAATAAAAATGTATTTTTTATTTTAAAATTTTTTAAAATTAGAGTTTGTTAATTATTGAATTTTTAGTTTTTGTTAAATTTTAAATTTTTGAAAATTAAATATTAAATCGAGTTCTAAATTATCAAGCATAGTAGCTTATATAAAAAATGAACCAAACACAATGTATATCCGCTGAAGCATCTGTTATTGATAAAGGATACAACATTGTACGTGTATTACATTTTATTTTTGGATTAATATTTATAATAATGCTTGTAAGGATTGTTTGGTCATACAGAACAAAATCGTTGAAATTACATAAAAATTTAATTGTAAGTTTAAATTTCTAAACTTTTGGTCTAGAGTTTTGAACAGTTTTTAGAAATTTCAATTTTACTAACACTTGCATAACGTAATAATTTTATTTTATTTGGCCTCATACCTCATAACAGTACCTTGTACCTTAAGTATAGAAATTAATTAATTCCTCACTATCACTTTTATGAGTACTAGTAAACGAAGTTCTATTGTGTGTGTGTGTGTGTGAAAATTGAAAATACTAGGAAACAACTATTTACTGGTCTGGAATATTTTTAAGCGATATGATTTTTTTTAAAAACATATGTAATTAATATAAATTTTGTAGTTATTATTGGCCAATATTTTATTACTTAATACACTTCTTGTTTTGTCGTATTTTCTTGCTGTTTTTATGAACTTTGTAAGATTTAATTTTTTATTTAATAAATATTTAATTTTTTATCACAAACAGATTGTTCTATTTACATACAAAAATTCTTGTGATTGTTTAATTCAAATTTGGTTAGTTTATTTGATTAGAATTCCTTTTTATCTTCAAATTGCTGGCTCTCCTTTGTTTCATTTTGCTATAATGATCGAAAGAATTTTGGCTACAGTTTATGTTAAAATTTATGAAAATCAAGGAAAAAAGATTGGAATAATTAGCACAATTATTGTGGTAATTATTTCTATGGTTATTTTCCACTATAATTAATTAATTTTAAAGTGGATATTGACCTTAATGTTTGGTTTTTATGTATATATTACATCAAGTATGGATGTCAATACTTTTAGTCATCCAATGGTTTATCTAACTTTGACAAGTATTTACAATTCTCAATTACTTATTGACATTCACAGTTTCCTCCTAATTTTGGTTATTTGTATAGCAATTGCTGATTATTATTTAATTAATCGAAATAAAAAAATAAAATCGAATTTGTGAGAATTTAAAATAATTAAAAACAAAAAATAAATTTATAGTTTCGGTTCCATAACAACCTACAGCCTCAGTCAAAGTTATCAAACAAAACAAAATATTCTTGTTATGAAAATTATTTTTCCTCTTGATTTTTCTTATACTTTTGTTTATGCGTTGTTTAATATTTTATCGACATTTATCCGTTCGAAACGTGCAGAATATGGACAACTCGTTTATGTACGTACTTATGACGGCATTATTTTGGTAAACAAAATTTTATTATTCGAAAACTTAAATTCTTTTAAGACTGATAAATATTTTTTAATCAATGAATCAGTAATGATTAATCAGTGATAATAATATTTTCTCGATTAACTCCCCTGGGGAATTATTTTTTCAACACATCCCTGGCATGTCGAATTAATCGAGAGTGGGGAATTAATCGAGAAAATACGGTATTCTAATCTTAATTTATTTTTTAGTATGTGAAATTGATAAGCCTTAACTAAATTCTTTGTTAATTTAGTCATAGACCTTTCCGTTCTGGATAAATAGTTAAAAGAAAAAAATAATTCCTAAAGTTGAAAAAAATGTTAAGCCCCAATTAATAACCAATTTCAGCAATTCTTTGAATAAAAACATTAAAATCTACCCTAATATTAACTCAAATTCAATAAATATTTAAGTTAATTATTGTCCATGCTATCTTAACATTATTTGTCTACGATTATTTTTTGAAGAAACAGAATGATATAAACAAGAATTTTGTTAAAAAGGGAATGAATAATGGCACAGAAATTTATTTTAGAAATTTGCAATCTGCTTGGAGCTAAAAATTATATAAATAAATTTACATTTGTATCACAATTCAATTTTTAAGAATATAATAAATAAATGATAAAATTTTAATGTTAGCTAAAAAATCTTATAGAAAATTTAAATTACCTAGAAACTAATCTCTTCATTAATAAAAAGGTTTTCGGCAAAATTAAACGAAACAATAAACGGCTATATTAAATCAAAAATTCCAAATTCTGTTATCAGACTAAACAAGACATTATTGTTATGGAAATTATTTATCTCTTGATACTTCATACACTTTAGTTTATGTATATTTTAATATTGTATCGAATCTAAGAGATCAAAGCGTGCCAAGTAATGAGATATTTATTCAGTTAAATAATTTAATATATGTACTACATATTATTTCCATAAAACGTAAAATAATCTTTTTTATGTTACTTTTAATAATTTAATTTTTCCTTAAAATTCACAGAATTTTAATCAGGCTTATGAAAAATGGAATCAACCAAACTTATGGACCACCGAAACTCTCAAAATTTGCACCTGCGTAGACTTGCGCGGGAATAAATTATTTGTTTGTAATTTTAGCGTACTTGCATATTTTTCGCCCTACGTACTTTCTTTATTTACACTTAACATTTTTCCAATCCGAGTCCTGTTTATAATTATTGTTTAATCGGACAAAATTATAGCAACAAGAAATATATGATAAAGAAATTATTAAAACAATTTTGAGATATGAAAGCCATAGTCGTCAAGGAATTGAAACAAATATTTAAAATTACATACTCGGAATATTTAATTGAATGGTTGAATACCACAATTTTTACATTTTAATTTAAACATTAGAATTAAAATTTTTTAATAAAAAATGATGCTGCATCCTCCTAATCAAATAAACAAACTAAAAATAAATGATGTATTCACGTGCATTCACAGGCACAAATATTTTGACCTTTTCCTATATTAAAAGGAATCCCGACCGTTATCAGAGTTTATCACAATTCCCGACCCTTATATTATTATTTGTTATTCACTTGTTTACCCCAATCTTGACCTGTTAATGTCCCCTATAAATACTCATCCAAAATGGTCATTCATCTTATCTTAATATCTAATTAGAAGTGTTTATGTGAGTTCTGGCCAGACTCTTGTAATTGTCCCCTTTCCCTCTTTTCGCTATGTATATATTTTTATTTGTAAATAGTTAATTGTAAATAAATAATTTAAAGAATATAATAATCCTCGAAAGGCTTCGGAACCCAATCCCAAAATTGTTGTATTTGGGTTTTATATAGCTTAACTCGGGTTCTACTATTCTGGGGACTTATATTAGACTGAATTACATTTTCAAATATTTATTCTATTCATTAATTTATTCTCCATATAAATATGGGCACAATAATAAGGGAGAGATTGGTTAAGCCAAATCTTCTAATAATGAGGAAAAGGCTGGGGTATTTATAGAGACAATTTAAGGGTCAAGATATAAACAGAAAGTGAATAACAAAAATAAGATAAGGAACGAGAATTGGATGATAACGTCGGGAGGCCTTTTATTTAGAAAAGGGTCAACTTTATGTTTGCATGTGAAAATGCAAATTGTTTATTTGATTAAGCGAATGCAGCATTCCTTCCCTCTTCGAAAAGAACGTCCACGTTCTAATATTTTGGGAGATTTGCTTAGGCTGCTTTTTTGACTAACTGCTTTTTTAAAATTAGATTTTCTCCGATTGAACGGGTGGCACTTTAACTTTTAACTATTTTATATATAATTTCTTTCATTCTCGTCTTTTATTTCTCATGATGGTATTTTCAATAATTACTTTTTATATTTTAATGCCATCGCTTAACAAGCTTCATTTGGGTTTAAAAATCTTTTTCTTGTCATCAAAGATTTTCTACTGTTGGTGATTTAACTCCATATTCTCCGACTTTAATAAATTTTAGAGAGAATTACTGAATGGGGCAGATTACATAATTTTGAAAGGGTTATTAACAAGGAAAAATTACAAACAAGGGAATTAAGAAAAAATTGGTTTACAAAAATTTTAAAAATTTAATTGTGTTGACAAGAACTTATGGAGTTTTCGATCACAGCCATTTCTTTCCAGTGTTGTCCATTTGTATTCAGATGATGAGTGCCATGTGTCCAGAGTTGATCAGTCATTTCATTTTTTTGTTGTCCCTTATCATTGGATTGTTTAAAGCATAGAAGTTGCAAGATGAATTTCTTTGTTGCTGTTCTCATTGCGACTTGAACGTGAGATTCTCCGATGTAGATACGGGTGAAAGATTTATCATTCTATCTTTAATAATTTTCTTATCCTTCACTTTTTTAGAAAAATTCATATCATTTTTTCCTTCCCTTCAATAAAAAAATCGTCTTGCTTTTGCTTGTCTTCCACAGCTATCACTGTTTTAAGATTAAGTTTAGATCCATTCGCGGTTTTATTTGCTGCGCTTCCACGCGTCTTATGCATTATAGCCAGGCACCTAGCCCGCACAAAGCTTCGGCTATTTAATTATTTACCACAGAAAGTTCTTTTCCGCTTCTATCTTCAGTGCTAACTTTTCAGATCATTACATCTTCAAGACGTTTTTCTAAATCCTACAATTTCAAAATTTCCATTTTCTAGAATTTTTCAATTTTTCTCACATCAGGCTATGCCATTATTTTATTTGTGGATGCTTTATTAATTTCAAATTTCTTAGCTATCTCGGTTTATAACCGGCATTTTAATTTATTCAATTTCACGAATATTTTCTTTCTTCGGGTCAATGCCCGGTATTTTTATCTTTAGTCCTCTCAGAATAGCCCGGGACATGTGGCACCAATTGTTGTATTTGGGTTTTATATAGCTTAACTCGGGTTCTACTATTCTGGGGACTTATATTAGACTGAATTACATTTTCAAATATTTATTCTATTCATTAATTTATTCTCCATATAAATATGGGCACAATAATAAGGGAGAGATTGGTTAAGCCAAATCTTCTAATAATGAGGAAAAGGCTGGGGTATTTATAGAGACAATTTAAGGGTCAAAATATAAACAGAAAGTGAATAACAAAAATAAGATAAGGAACGAGAATTGGATGATAACGTCGGGAGGCCTTTTATTTAGAAAAGGGTCAACTTTATGTTTGCATGTGAAAATGCAAATTGTTTATTTGATTAAGCGAATGCAGCAAATGAGCAAATACTTTCTTGAATATAAATTTAAATCATAAAGTGCATTTAAAATGTTATAAGTCGGTGTTAACTTCTAATTTCAGTCAAATTTGAATTTACTTTACTGTCATTTTTTGCGCAAGAAAAACGGAAATTAAGCGACATTTAAAATTTTTTACCTAAATAACTTTATATTTTATTTATTTGCCGGTGTTTTGAAAATTACTTTTAATGAAACAATTTAAATAATAATTATTCTCTCAGATAGAATAACTGCCATTCCATTTTTGAAGACCCTCAAAAAATGTCATTTAATTATTTTCGATGACCAATATGTTTTTAATTAATCGGAAATTTTATTCGTGATTTATAAACATTATTGGACATCTTAAAAATACTTCAAAAATATTTTTAAGGTCCTTCGAAAAAACGTAACTTTGTCATAAAAATTCCTTTTTACCATTTGATTTCCGGGCTACCTATTTTATTATTACTAGGTTGAGCCATAAAAAAGTTTGCATTTAGTTATCACTTGTTTTCTGAGTGATAAAAAACTAACTTAGGTAAGCAGAATTTTAAAAGCATTTACACATTCCGTTAAATCAAAGTACATAATAACGCAAAGTTGGAAGTAAGAAAAATTAAATTAACACTATCCATAAACCCTATTTTTATTGTTTGGTAATAACAATTTTCTTAATTTGTTGTGAATGAAACAAAAACTTTTTCTTTATTATAAGTCTGTCAAATCAAAAAATACGTGCTAAGAAATTTTTAAACTCTATAAATGGATCAAACACAATGTATTGCAGCCGAAGCATATGTTCGCGATTATGGCATGAATATTGCAAGAATATTACATTTTATTTTCGGAACAATTATTCTAATAATGTCAATTAGAATTGTTTGGTCATATAATACTAAGTCTTTAAAATTACACAAAAATCTAATTGTAGGTTTTAAATATTCAATCAACGGCCTTCGTATAATAATGTTTTTGGGTTGATACTTTTTTTATTTTTAACGCCCTAACGAGAAAAAATTTTTGGCCGAAATTAATTTCAATAAAAATGATAAAAATTTTATTGAACCCAATAATTCAGTCGGAATTTAATTTTTTGCTTTATGTTACCGCGAACAATGTGCTGCTTTAAAACTCATCTCCTTTAACTATCATCAAATTTTGTTATGTTCGAAGCAACTCAATGAGCTGAATCGAACTTTACCAGGACGTCCCGGATTATACCACTTTTAAAGCAGTTATAGCTCGGCGGTACATTGGTCTCGCAATTGTACCCGTGATAATACCCATTATTTGAGGAGATTAAACAATAATAAAATTGAATATTTTAGATATTAATTAGCAACATTTTAATTATCCATATGATTTTTGCTTTGTCGTATATTGTTGAAACTTTTAAAAATTTTGTAATTAAAGATTTTTATTTTAATTAAAAATTAATTTAAAGATTGTTTTATTTACATATTCAAACCCTTGTGATTGTTTAACTCAAGTTTGGCTGGTATATTTGATAAGAATTCCAGGTTATCTCTACATTCTTGGACTAACAATGTTTCACCTTTTTATAATGATTGAACGTGTTTTGGCTACAGTTTTTGTTAAAATCTATGAAAATCAAGGGAACAGGATTGCCGTCTTATGCACAATCTTTGTGGTAAATTTAATATAATCGGGAACAAAAATATAATAATAGTTGGGAACAAAAATTTTTTATTATCCCTGATCGCGATAACAAAAATATTACAGTCAGATCTCATTATAAAATAACCGCTTCGGTTGCTAAGAATCTCAATATTTCTTCCTTTATTTTAATTAATTAAAAAATGTTTTTAGTGGTCATTAACTTCAATATTTGTTTTATATGTCTACATAAGCTCTTCTATGGATGTTAATACTTTTAGCCATCCAATGATTTATATAACTCTTACATCAATTTATAACTCACAAGTTCTTTCAAACATTAACTACTTTTTCTTGTCTTTGGCTATATTTATTGCTGTTGGGGATTATTTTGTTATTCATCGAAACAGAAAAATTAAAGCAAATTTGTAAGAAATTAAATTATAAATTCAAATTATGACAAATAATTTAAAGTTTCAGTTCTGTATCCTCCTACAGTCTAAGCAAAAGTTACCAATCTAAACAAAACATTCTCTTTATGCGTGTAATCTTCCCTCTCGACTTTTCTTATTCTTTCGTTTTTGCATTATTCAATATCCTCTCAACATTTATCCGATATAAACGTGAAGAATATGGACAACTTACATTTCTGCGAACATATGAATTCCTAATTTTGGTAAACAATGTTAAATTCTACCCTTTATAGTATACATATTCTAAAAATGATGTTTAAAACAAAATTAAAAATTATCCAAAAACCTAATCTCTACTAATGATTTTCTAAATTCTATAAATAATAAATACTAACAATAAGCATGTATTATTATGGGTCTTGTTGTTTAAATTACATCTATCTAATACTTTCCCAATTAAAACAATTAAATTTTCCTCTTACAAATTTTGTACAATAATTTTATTTTTTATATTCCTTTATAAAATTTAAAATTAAACGACAATTTTAAATTTAAAATTAAACCCAATTTTAAATATATTAATTTTAATCAAAATCATTAAGTTGCCTTTCATTCATGCTGCATCAACTTTGATTGTCTTTGAATACTTTTTGATTAAACAAAATGAGATTAATCAGAATTTTATCAATAAAAATAATGCAAAACACGATACAGAAATTTATTTTAAAAAACTTAATTCGCAGTGGAATTGAATTTTTTAGAGTTTTATATTAATGTTATTTCATACTACATATGTTTTGTATATTTAATTTATAATAAAATAAAATTTATTTTTTCCTTTAAAAATTGTAAATGGGTTTGCAAATTTAATTGTAAATTAATTTAATTAAAAATTGTAAATTTCTAAATAATTTTATTATTTAAAGTATGTACATATATACACAAGGTAAAATTTTTAATTAATTATTGTTATTATTGCAAAATGTAGAGTAAAAGAAAGTCATCATAATTCTACACTTTGGTAAGAGGTTTATCTAACAGACCAAGATTTTTTTAAAACTTTATGGCAAGAAAAATACGAAGCATAATATGAATTGCTTCTTTAACATTAATCTATAAACTGTATGTAAATATTATAAGAGTTAAAAAGATTTAAAAAAATTATTAAAAAATTTTCCATCATTAGATACGAAGAGCAATCTTATTTGATTCAAATAAGATTGCTCTGTTTTAACTTGTATTTTCGAATATTCGCACGAATATAACTTATCCCGCCTTACCTAGAGTGTTATTTATTAGTGTTATTCAAACGCGTTTTTTCGGTATCGGTATCGGTATTTTCGGTAAAATACCGATATCGCAAATACCGCGGTATTTTTGATTGAGGCGGTATCGGTATCGGTATTTTGGTAAAATACCGATACCGAAAAATACCGACGAAAAATAGTCGGTATTACCGCGGTATTTCGGTATTTTTTGAAAATTTACCAAATGAGCAAATTTAATACAATAAATGTGAAATAAGTTTATAAATAGTGAATAAATAATGAATTTACTATTTATAATGAATCAATGGAAGTGTTTGGTTCAGAAAAATTAACATTTCTGCATTTACTGGACACAAAAGTGATAGCCTGTATTCAAAGACGTCTCTTGCTACGGAAAAAATCCTTTCACTTTCTACTGAGTTTTTCAAAATAAAAGTTTTTCAAAAATTTTGAAAATTTAGTATGTCCTTAAGCCAGATTTCTTTATTTTTTGCGCCGCAGGCGCAAATTTCGAAAAATTTTGAAGGCCTTGAAGCCAGATTTCTTCCATTTTTCATCGCCGGAAGCCAAAATTTTAAATTGGAAGCCAACTTTCTTATTTTTTCAGCGCCGCAGGCGAAAATTTTGAAAATTTCGGAAGGCCGTAGGCGAAAAAACTCACTTTTTAGTCTACCTGGAAAATACCGAAATACCGAAAAATACCGCGGTATTTTGATTGAGGCGGTATCGGTATCGGTATTTCGGTAAAATACCGATACCGAAAAAATACCGATTTTTAAAAAATTGTTCGGTATCGGTTTCGGTATCGGTATTTCGGTAAAAATACCGCGGTATTACCGAAAAATACCGCGGTAATACGGTACCGTGAATAACACTATTATTTATAAGTTCAAATGGTATGTAGAAAGAAAATTAACTTAAATTTATATGAAATTAATACAGTAAGGTGCAAAAGTTTATGCGGCGGATTTAAAACATCATAAAACCTTTCAGAATTGATCAATTTTGACAATCTTGGTCTTAAAAAATAGTTTAAACGATAACTCAGTTGACATCTTTCGGCATTTTCTTCAAATTCGACTTTTCGACCCCTTTTAGACTGGTCGAACAAACAGCCCATTTGCTGGATCCTTGGAAAAATTTTTTAGAATCTTGCTGATTTTATATATGATTCTCCGTAAAATTCTGTACAAAATGCAAAAAACCGCATTCGAAATGCTTCGGCCCGAACCGAGATATGATTTTTTGAAAATCACAAAAAACAGTTGAAAACACCAAAAACTCGGAAAATAGCTGTTTTTTCCAATTTTCAAAAAATCATATCTCGGTTCGGGCCAAAGCATTTCGAATGCGGTTTTTTGCATTTTGTACAGAATTTTACGGAGAATCATATATAAAATCAGCAAGATTCTAAAAAATTTTTCCAAGGATCCAGCAAATGGGCTGTTTGTTCGACCAGTCTAAAAGGGGTCGAAAAGTCGAATTTGAAGAAAATGCCGAAAGATGTCAACTGAGTTATCGTTTAAACTATTTTTTAAGACCAAGATTGTCAAAATTGATCAATTCTGAAAGGTTTTATGATGTTTTAAATCCGCCGCATAAACTTTTGCACCTTACTGTACATACATAAAAATTTTTATTAAAAAGAATAATTTATTTAAAAAATAATTAGACAAAAAATTCATTTCCAGGAAAGATTTAAATTTTTAAAATACATTTCTGAACTTATATTCATATTAATTTTAACAAAATTCTTTTTAATTTCATTCTGCTTCTTTAAAAAATAGTTGTAGACAATTAACGTTATTATGGCGTGAATTAGAAGTAACTTAAATTAGAAAAGATTTTTATAAAAATAAAATTAAATATTAATTTATTCGAATCACTAATATGATAATTTAAAGATTTTATAGAGGTAAATGTCCAGTTGATTCCCCACAAGAGCTGATCCGAAATTTCGATTTTCGTTTATGATTTTCGAAATTTTGTGATATTCTCAATTTTCGAATTTTTGAAAAATTTTTATTTTTCGGCGATAAAATTGAAGATTTTTTTTTGTTTTTGGCCTTCCAGAATCCTCTGATATCCTCTGAAATCCACCCAAATACCACGATGAGATATTGACTATTCATTTTCCACACGGTGGCGGAAGAGGGCCTAAAAGGGGAAGGCGGAAGAGCAAAAAAGACGGGAGGATCCCTGTTGGACAGAATGAAGAAAAAAATGAAGAGCCCCCCTCACTCGTCAGGTGATGGGGAGTCAACTGGAAATTTGCCTTTTCTATATTATTAAATATTTACTAGAGTTATGCCTTCATATGTTCGTACATAAACAAGTGGGCCATAATCATCGCGATTGTATCGTAAAAAGTTTGCAAGAGCATTAAATAATGCAAAGACAAAAGAATAAGAAAAATCAAGTGGGAAAATAATTCTCATTAAAAGAATGTTTTGTTTAGATTGATAACTTTTGCTTAGACTGTAATTTGTTGCTGAATTGAAACTTTAAATTTGTTAAATTAAGTAATTTATTTGTAAATAAATATGTATATTTACGTACAAATTTAATTTAATTTTACGATTCCGAACAATTAAATAATAATCAGCTATAGCTACACATATTACCAAAAACAAGAAAATGAAGGTGAGGTATATAAGCGTTTGAGAATTATATTTCGTTGTTATTATTAGATACACCATCGGATGCCCAAATGTGTCCGTATCCATTTGTGTTGTAATGTAAAGGTAAAGGCCAAACATTAGATTTAATATCCACTAGAATTTTGAATATTAATAAAACAGAAAATAATTACCACAATAATTGTGCTAATAACCCCGAACATTTTCCCTTGTTTCTCATAAATTTTAACATAAACTGTAGCCAAAAGACGTTCAAACATTATAGCAAGATGAAATAAAGGAGAGCCAAGATAGTAGATATATTGTGGCATTCTAATCAAATAAACTAACCAAACTTGTGTTAAACAATCACAGGGATTTGAATATGTGAATAAAACAATCTGAAATTAATTATTATGGGATCTTTCAAAAACTACACCGACAAAATTAATAACAGCTTCAAGCATAAATGACAGCGCATAAATTGCATAAAGAAATAGTACATTGCTGATTAATATCTAGAAATTAAAATGATCTGTTGTGATTGAGTGTTAATGTACTAGTTTGCAAACTCGTTTGAAAGGGCTTTATTTGTATATTTGAATTTTTATCCCAAAAATCATTGTACTCCTCCCTATAGTCTTTAATTTTTCGGAAACTACTATAACTCTTTCAATAATCATTTCAGAAAGTAGGGTGTGATAACCTTCATTTCAGCTCTTCGAGAAAAATCGAATGACATATGTTTCACCAAAACTTTTACCAACGTCAGAATTTACTTCTAACAAATTTTTGGTAGTTTATGAAAAACTTAACCCAATTTATTAATGATTAGATTTATTTTACGATTAAATTTGTGTGTAATTTCACTGCATTTGTTTTGTAATACCAAATAATACGCAAAAGTAAAATAAAAATAATTGTACATAAAATTATTAATACTCCTCTTATAATATTAAATTTTGTATCGAGGACAAATGCTTCAGCATCAATACATTGAGTTTGATTCATTTTTTAATTCTGAAACTCGAAAAAAGGTATTTTAAAAAAGGTATATGTATAGTTCTAGAAAAAAGGCTAATAAGTTAATATTATAATTCCCATTATCAAGTTTAATATTGAAATGAAAAAATTTTTTCATAATTATATATTTATAAATATTAAAATGTTAATAAATACCTTATTGGCTTGTGAGAAACATCTGCCCTTAATGTATCCCCAAGAATTAATTTTGTAGACTTTAACTTTAAATTTCAAATTATTAAATTGCTACTAACAAAATACTTTGAACCAACAATAATTAAAAAATGTTAAAAGGATAATTATAAAGGAGAAAACTGATTTCATAATTCAAAGATTTTGAAAATAATCTATCTTGTTTTTATTTAAAATTTAATTTTACTTTAATTTTTTTAGTTATTTTTATTCCCTTATTTATTATTCTTTACATCTTATAAACTCTCCATCTCAACAAGTAGCAACTTGTTAAAAAATTTAAAATATGGACATCTCGAAAAATCTCGATCTCGGTAATCAGATTTGTGATCTCGTTTTGAACAAGGCTCTAGCTACAACTCATTCATAAAAGATGTATAATATGTAATAAATATTGGATCCTGAGGAACTATCAATCAAATATTTCAGCGAACAAAATAAACTTGGAAATATCTCTCTCTAATCAAGATTTCCTCCCTATAAAATTTTCTCCATATACTAAGACATGATTTCAAATAATTATTCATTTTATGTTAAAGTATAAAAAAATTTTTTCAAATTTTTTATATAAAACTGCATTAAAGTACACCATTAATTTAATGTTTGACGTATTTTTATTTTATTTTAAATAATATCTATCATTAATTTGAAAATTATTATATCTCTTTTTATTAAATAACAGGTGCAAATAAAAGCTGTTCTAAAAAATTTTTAAATATTTAAAAAATGTAAATTTAATTATAATATATAATGGAAATTATAGCTTAATTAATTCACATCTTTGAGCCGTTCCCATAATTAAATAATAACAGGTGTAAAGTAGGTACTATTTACTTTAAAAAACCTCTAAATATTAAATAACTTTGCTAACAATAATTGGAAATTATATTTAAAATAAAAATGTTTTTTTAGAAATTTTGGATATTTATTTATTTGCCTATGTTGAATAGATATGAAAAGATATGTATATGCTTTTATTTTTTGATTGAAAGAGAAAGAGTTAAGAGATACCTGTAAATTCGTGTGATCTTAATATGTTTTAATGCTTATTTCCTGTCATTTTTGCGGGTACACCCTTATGTACCACGACCTAATGTACCGCCAAAGTATACGCCCTGGTATGGCTCGATTCAGCTCGTCGAGGGGCAGCGAACCATACCAGGGCGTCCCAAAATCGATAATTTTGGACGAGGTTATACGAGGCTCCCCATTTTTGGACTTATTAGAAAATGTCTGTTTCCTAGAACGGAAATGCTTAAACATCTTGTATTATTTTCCAAAACTTATTATAATTTAACGAAAAAATTTTATAAAATTATTTTACAAATTTCAATTAGAAGATTAATTCATTAAAATGAATAAAACAAAATGCTTAGCTGCAGAAGCATCAGTTATTAATATTAGTTACAATATTGTTAGGGCATTACATCTTTTATTGGGAATGATTGTTTTATTAATGCTTTTAAGGTTTGTTTGGACTTACAAAACAAAATCACTAAAATTTCATCCAAATGTTATTGTAAGATTTTTTAAAGAATAATAATTATTAAATAAAAAATTAATTTAAGCTAATAATTTCCAATATATTAATAATTTATATGTTGTTGGTATTTTCGTTTATGAGTGCCGCAATAAAAAATTTTGTAATTTTTTAAAATTGGTTTAATGATTAATTTAATTAAAAAAGATTGTTTTATTCACATATACAAATCCTTGTGATTGTTTAATGAAAGTTTGGACCGTTTATCTATTTCGCATTATTCCAAACATTTATAATTTTGGGTTGTCCTTGTTACATTTTGCTTTAATGATAGAACGTATATTTGCTACAATTTATGTCAAAATTTACGAAAAGCAAGGAAAAATGTTTGGGATTATTAGCACAATTATTGGGGTAAATTTTGATTTTTAATGCTCTACTTGCTTGATCTCTACTCGATCATCTTATCAAGGAATTATGCATTAGATAAATTAATTCCATTAGGGAATTAATAGTCCATCAAATTATTAATCTGTGACTTTAAGAGAAGCTATAAATTTATATGTCATAAATTATACAGTCTTTGTTTAAAATAGTATGAATTCGTATTCTTACTATCTCGGAATTTTGTTTCAATTTTTTTTTCAAAAAATTCAATCCAACAAGTCTCCTATTTATTATCTACTTAGTCTATTTTTTTATAAATATTTTATTAATTTTTAGTGGTCATCAATAACAATTTTTGCTATTTATGTTTACATAAGTTCATCAATGGAAATTGAAACATTTAAGTATCCAATGGCCTATCTAAGTTTAACGAGTATTTACAACTCTCAAATTCTTTTTAAATTACACTATTTCTACCTATTTTTGGTAATATGTATTGCTTTTGCTGATTATTATTTAATTCGAAGAAATCAAAAAATTAAATCAAATTTGTAAGAAATTGAAAAAGAAAACATTTTTAATATTTTAATTTTTAAAGTTTTAGTTCAACAACAGACTACAGCCTCAGTCAAAGTTATCAAGCTAAACAAAACATTCTTGTGATGAGAATAATCTTTCCTCTAGATTTTTCTTATACTTTTGTTTTTGCGGTATTTAATATTCTATCGTTTTTTATCAGATCATTACGTGAAGATTATGGAATACTTGTTTATGTTCGGAATTATGATGCTATATTTTTGGTAAATACAAAATTAAATTATATTACTCCTGGACCCTGCCCAAAATAAATTCAAAACTCCATACTCAGCAGAGGTGGGTCGGTAATGACGAAGGTGTCGGAAATCGGAACTGTTGGAATCAGAAATAAAAATTTTTTCAGAAATCGGAAGTAAAAAACGTCGGAAATCGAAATTCCGACCCACCTCTGATACTCAGACACGAAAACATTTACCGTATTATCTCTATTAGAATGCCCCTCTCCATTTGAATGCCCCCCTCTAATAGAATGCCCCTCTGGAGAATAATCGAAATATAGAATGCCCCCCTCCAATTGAATGCCCCCTCTATTAGAATGCCCCCCCTTTTAATTATATAAATCCTTCCAAACGTAAAAAAAGATTCAAACCAACGCTATTTTTATTCTCTTTTACTTATTTCTCTTGTTATTTCAGTATTATTGTAAGATGTATTCGCAAATCCGAGATATCGAACAGATTTTTCCAAAATACCGACTGGAAGGGGCGCGGTATAATCTCGTAAATCCCGTTAATACAGTTGGCAAATTTACCGGTATCCAGCATTGATTTGGTAGTTGCACAAAAAATTTTACGCAATAGATATTGGGGATATTAGGTGATCTGGAGGGATATTGGATATTAAGGCGGATTTGAATTCCAACAATAAGTATTAGAAGAAAATGTATAAAGAGGGATTATGGGGATTTGGAGTGATAGTGTAGTTAAAGGAATAACCGTGATTTAGAGGGGATAAAGGGAATTTGGCGAGTTAATTGGATATAATTCAAACTTATCCTGATCACTCTTGACCCTATATACTTTTTATACACATAATAATCCCTCAATTTCTCCTAAATAACCTCTTATCCCCCCATATCACTTCAATCATAATATCCGCCATAATCATTCTTAATCCGATGATGATTGATTCCTCATTAATCCCTACTCTTAATACTTCTAAATCAACGAATTTGTTGAAATTCTTAAATTATACTCGAAATTCGATCGAATACTCGATATTTTTGTCGAAATATTCGAAAATACTTTCCAAATTAGGTATTCGATTCGAATTTTGACCGAAATTTGTTGTAAAAAATGCTGGTCGCTTTTCACATTTTAGTTGTACCGATATACTTGGCAAGTAAATTTTTTTCTAATTTTTAAATTTAGTCATCGAAAAATACAATGCCCCCCTCCATTTGAATGCCCCCTTCCAATAGAATGCCCCTTTGGAGGGTGATTGAAAAATAGAATGCCCGGGCATTCTATTAGAGATAATACGGTACTTGTTTTTAGGTTATAGTAAACATAATATGATCTGTCTTTGTTGAATTATTAGAAACTTTTGTATCCTAACTTTTGTATAATCTTTAAATTTTACAAAAATTCGGCTATGCTCTTTATCCAAATATTTAAAATTTTTTTCATTAAGTTGCCTGTAATTCATATCATCATAACATTGTTTGTCTACGAATATTTTTTGAAAAAACAAGATGAAATAAATCATAATTTTATTCAAAATAGAACAAAAAATACTACAGAAATTTATTTCAAAAGACTTAATTCTCAATGGAATTAATCTTTTATTTTAATATTTTTATATCTACATTATGTCTATATGTATACCTTAAATTAAAATATCTCTGGTGATTAATTTTTAGTTTATGTAGTCTAATTTTGAGAAAAGATATCCTTTCTGTTTTTTCCGTTTTGTTCTAATCATTTCGTGACAAAAAAGTACATACGATTTCAATAGGCTCTTGTATATTTTTGAAAAATTAAGTCGAATCATTGTAACAGAAGAAAGATACAATTTTATTTATCAAAGGAGATACCTATTTTAAATGTAAATAATTATTTAATTTTAATTATTATCAAATTATTATTTAATTATATGTAATTAATAAGTTTTGAATACATAATTTGTGTACCGGATATACAAAAAATTATTTTCTAGCATTTAACTAATTTAATAGTTAATTTAATTACCCTGACAGGTGAATTAAACATAGATATAAATATTTTTTGTAAAATAATAAAATAACCTCTATGTATATAATCAAATTATTCATAGTAAACATAATATGATCATAGTAAACATAATACCTTAATTTCTATAAATATCTCCGGCGATTAGTTTTTAGTTTATGTAGTCTAATTTTAGAGAAGAGATATCTTTTCTGTTTTATTCCGTTTTGTTCTAATTATTCTGTAACAAAAAGTACATATTTAAATAGGCTCTTGTAAATTTGTGAAAAATTAAGGAGAATCATTGTATTATTTATCAGAAAGGAGATACCTATTTTAGAGTAAATAATTATTAAATTCTAATTAATTAAATAAATATCAAATTATTATTTAATTATATGTAATTAATAAGTTTTAAAAACTTAATTTGCGTACCGGATATACAAAAAATTATTTTCTAGTAATTTAATAGTTAATTTAATAGTTAATTTAATTACCCTGACAGGTGAATTAAACATAGATAAATATTTTTTTCAAAATAATAAAATAACCTCTATGTATATAATCAAATTATTCATACAAATATAATTATATAATACCACACCTTTATAACGACTATAAACATGAAAATTAAATTTATATTAATGCAAAAACATTGATATAAGCATAATTATTCCTTACAAAAATTGTTTTTTCTCCAATTTATTTTAAATTAATTTTGCTGGAAAAATTTAAAAAATGAATGAAACACAATGTAATGATGCTGAAGATTCTGTTAAGGATACTTTATTTAACATTGTTAGAGTATTTCACATTATTTTTGGAGTAATTATTGTTGTGATGGTAATTCGGAATGTTTGGTCTTACAAAACAAAATCTTTAAAATTTCACACAAATTTAATTGTAAGTTTTAAGCCTTTAATAAATTGTGAATTACACTACGCGGTAGTGAATTTAAAAAAATCATAACTCTAAGAATATCAACCATATATAGGTAGCTATACCTGGTATTAAAATGAAGAGTAGATTCAGATCTATATGTTTATTAATAATAAAAAAGAATATTTGTAAAACAACACTCTCAAAAATTTAATCTAAATAAACAGCTACTAATTATGACCCGAACTAATACTATTTCTGGAGATATTTATGTAACTAATTCTAATATTTTCTATTTTCGGTACTTCTATGAAATATTCGAATTTTGTACAACCCTTGTTATAAACTTTTTAAAAATATTTAGTGTATACTTTTTATGAAAATAAATTTAAAATTATCTAAAATATTTAAATGTTTTATAGATATTAATAAGCAATATTCTAATAATCTACTTACTCTTGACATTGTCTTATATTGTTGAAGCTTTTAATAATTTTGTAAATTAATTTAATTAAAATTAGTTTAAAAATATTTTTTAGTTAATTTTATTTACATATTCAAACCCTTGTGATTGTTTAATTCAAGTTTGGCTTGTTTATTTAATTAGAATTCCAGATTATCTTTACATTCTTGGCTCTCCATTATTTCATTTTGTTTTAATGACTGAACGAGTTCTAGCAACAATTTTTGTTAAGATTTATGACAAGCAAGGGAAAATGTTTGGGGTTACTGCAACTATTATTTTGGTATAAAATTATTCCGATATTAAAAGTATTTTGAAGATAATTCTCTCAAAAATGCGAATTTTCAAACTAAATTTTTATGAATATTATTAAGCCTAATTTGGTTTTGGGGATTATTTAGTTTGATCAAGACATTAGTTTATTTTTGGAAGCACCCTAACATTGTATTCAGAAATACCCCAAGCATTATTATACCTGGAAATTAAGCTTAAGTTAGGTTTAAACAATAACAAAAACAACAGTAATAGAAAGATATTGTTTCCGTGGTTACATTGAATAATTGGCCTATTACGTTTAATTTGTAAGCATCGACAGTTTGAACAAAAAATTATTTTCAAAAAATTTTTATTTTATATAATACCTATTTAAATAATTTTAGTGGTCATTAAATTTTCTGTTTGCATTGTATGTCTATCTAAGCTCTTCCTTAAATTTTGATCATCCATTGGCCTATATAACACTTACAAATGTTTCAAATTCTTTTTATCTTATAAACATTCATTATTTTATTTTTATACTTATAATAAGTATTGTTATTGGAGATTATTTAGTTATTAAAAGAAATAGAAAGATTAAATCAAATTTGTAAGGAATTAATTTCTTGTAATTTAATCGTGTCCGGACAATGCGTCAGTGGACAATGCGTGAGTGGAAAATGCGTCAGTGGACAATCGGTCAGTGATGATATAAAGTGATTAAAAGTGATGTGTAAAGAGATAAAGTATGATATAAAAAGACTAAAGATGGGATATTTAGAGATTAGTAGTATTTAAAAAGGAATTTTGTGGGATTAAAAGAGATATAGAAGGATTTGTTGGGATTAAGGCCGATATCTCGGGTTTGGCTGGATTAACAGAGATATAAAGTTATTTGGTTGGGTTAAGATGGAGATAAGTTGATTTGGAGTGAGATCAGTCGATTTCTACCTCTTGATATCATTGCTTTTAATCACTTTATATCAACACTGACCGATAGTCCACTGTCGCATTTTCCACTCACGCATTGTCCACTGACGCATTGTCCGGGAGCCAATTTAATTTAGAATTTTACTTTCAGTTCAGCAACAAATTACAGTCTCAGTCAAAGTTTTCAAGCTAAACAAAATATTCTTGTAATGAGAACAATTTTTCCTCTAGATTTTTCTTATACTTTCGTCTATACAATATTTATTATTCTTTCAACATTTATTAGGATGAGACGTGTTGAATATGGCCAACTTGTTTATATTCGTAGCTATGATATTTTAATGACGGTATGTCAGGTTTATTCACTTTTTCAGTGCCAAGGCCGAAAGTTCCAACAATTTTGGAAAGACTCCTTTTATGGTTCATGGAATCCTGTTATAGACCTCGGGTAATCCTGTTATAGACATTTAACTCTGTTAAAGGCCTTTCCTTTTTAACATTTTAAAATACATTTTCTAATTATTTTTTAATTAAGTTACCTTTGCTTCACGCTATT